ACCTTACCTCTCTCTCTCTCTCTCTCTCTCTCTCTCTCTCAAGAAAAATTGACTTTAGAGTTCTTATAAGATCCACATACTTGGTTACTGGTGTTTATTAATCACTGGTACGCATGGATCCACACCCATCCTACTTACCACGAATGCTCTTCTTTTGTTTTGAGAATGAACTAGTAATGCTCTTCTTGCACCAAAAAGAAGTGTAAAATTTCGAAATAGTTCTGGGAATGGATCCAACAACTCTTGTTCATCACATCCTCTGCTGATTTTCAATGGATCCTCGATTTGGCCTTTGCTTATTGGGGCACACATATATGAATGCATCGATTATCTGCAAATAGCAGATAAAACTCCTGTACTTTTAGAAGTTTGACTGGAACATATGAAAAATAGTAATTTTTTATTTGATCTTGTTTGTTTTAGATCCATTAAATTTGTATAAATTCACAGAGGAATCCTATTAACTGGAGAGCATTTGTGTCATAGTTACCTAAGTGGTTGCGGAACCCCCCTAGATTGTGAATCAAACTTGCAAATAAAATCACCACTTGGCTGATCCAACACTTAATTTCACAATATAAGTTGCAAATGCATACCATAGAGACAAGATGATTATTTTGGGGACTGCAGAGAGGATCTAGATATTTGAGTTTAGCATTCAAGTACCACTTAGTCCATAGCAACATTCAGTCACCAACTAGCCAGTAGCTCAAGGCTAATTTCGCTACAATGACACCGTACAAATAACTCCATCTTTTTCCCTGAGGTTCCCCCAATACTCCTGAGTTTCAGATTCCGAATTAATGTACGGCTTCACCCCTAGTTTATGCTGATTGACTCTTTGATTAGGTCCACAATTAATAGAAAATCAAGTATATATTCAAAATATACCATGCCGCCATGACTTCCTGATGTTTTCTTCACAATTAACAATTCTAACTGTTATGTGCATGCACTGTGAGGCATTGCTCGCTGTGCAGGAGCCGGGGCGTGCTGAAGCTGATTTTGGGCGTTTGGATGTTGAGACAGTCATAAGGAACATATATATACTCTTCTCAGGCAGCGAACTTCCAGTTGCCAGTGAAAATGAAGAGATAATGGACTTGGTCCAACCATCAACTCCCCTGCCTAACTGGTTCACTGAGGAAGATCTCTCTGCATATGCTTCTCTCTACAAGAAGTCAGGGTTCCGTTTTGCTTTACAGGTGCCCTATCGCCTCTTTGAAAGGTAAGCTTTGGCAAAGATCTTTCTCAAAGCACTCTTCTGAAAATTGAGAATGGCGGTTTTCAATCTGTATTGATCCCACCTTTTCATGTGCATTATCTGCTATATCATGGACAAAGATAAGACTTGGTAAGGTTCTTTCCAAAAGCAGCATTCTGATAATCGACAGTATCAATTTCTGTAGTGACCCTATTTTTCTGACACTGAAAATAATAATAATAATAAATGCAATAAAAATAATAATATAAAAATAAAACAAAATACCTACATAAAGAAATGATTTTGAGTGATGATTCATTGTGTTGTTAATGCACCATGGGACCACTCTTTTATGACACCCTTCATTTCCACCGATTTTTTTTTTAAAAATATTTAATTAAGATATTAGGGTATAATGTGGCATTATGAGATAATGATAAGAGGTGATGTGGCATTATAAGATAACAATAGGAGGTGATGTAGCATTATAAAATAATTAACAAAAAATTAAAAATAAGAAGGGAGGACACATGCCTTGACATGTGTCAAGTTGAGGAGTGTCCTCACTCACTTTAAAAATCTTCCTTCACCCTCATGAGCTAATCATGAAGCTCATCAAAATTTCCACCTCGCTCTCTACCTAAACACCCCTGATTCCAGTTCTACTCTGTCAATAATATTAATATATCCATTTCAGAGTGACATATAGGTAAGTGACTTCATTTTTCCTGGAAAATCATTATTTGAAAAACTAATATTTCTATATTATTCCAGAGACATTTCTGCATTTAATTGTAATATTCCAAGCATAAATTTTTTATCTTGTAAGTGTTATGTGCAAGTGGCCTTGCTTTTCTTGAAAATAATTGTTTAAAAACTTGGGTTTCTGCACTATAAGTTTTACGTGTTTCTGTAACGTGATAATTAAAAATATTGTAAGTGTTATGTGCGATTGCTATAAATTGCGTCATATGAATTCATGTTAATGATTTCAATGGTATTTTGAAAATATGATATTATTGTTTCCTGATATCTACTACATAGATGAATGGCCTGCAATTGCATAACAATGTTTTTTGAATTTATATGCATGATAATATGACATAGTGATGTCCCTTGTGACCCTATGTATAGCATAGACATGTTGATGTTTCTTGTGATTTCATATGAGATATGCTTCTGATAAGATATGTGTGCATGGTAACATGCTTCTGATAAGATATGTGTGCATGGAAACATGCCTCTATTATGATCTAATGAGATATTTGTACCGGCAGCGGTGATTTTTCCTTACCCTCCATGATAGGATGAGAGTTGGGAGTGTGTGTGTTTGGGTGGTCGCTCTCCCAAAACTTATGTGAGACACTACTCATTGAGACCCCTTTGGCAGTGTAACGCTATTTCGCCGGAAGGGCTCATAAGAGGGTCGTGTCTTGCAAGGCCAGTGCCTATCACAAGCCCCAAAGCGCTGGAGACCATGTGCATATGTGAGGCACTACACACGAATTTACCCGTTGGTGGTGTTTCTCTCCTGGTTGTGATGGTAGAGGTTCTACGCATCAGGATTTGATTTGGGCTGATGGGTTGGGCTTCTGCTTCAAGAGTTAGTTGGTATCTCTTGATCTTGATTATGCTGGTGATATGCATACTTAAATGTTTTCAGTGTAACTAGAGCTAGCATCGAAGGAATTCATAGAACCTTAGAAAATACGGTTACGCTTATGCAGCACCAGATAGAGAATTATAATCTACCCATGACGTCAATTATAGGGAATAAGTGGACTAATCTAGTACGTCAATGAGATATGAGTGGACCTATCCAATACGTCGATAGGGATTAAGTGGACTCATCCAAGACGTTAGTGGCGTATATAGATGACCTACTTGGAATGCCAAGAGGGTACTTTGTGAAATCCTTTGTACCATGTTAAATTGGGCATTTCTATTAAAGGATTTACATATACACTTTCTCATACTGGTTCATATGCGTTCAAATCTTTTGAATTATGTTAAATTGTGGCTTTCTGAATTTGAAATTGTTCTCCATGTATGCTATTTCTCATATTATGCATTCTTTTAGAAAAGATTTACACTTTCCAACCATGACTTTTAAAGATAATGATGGTCACTTACTGAGTAGCCAAACTCATCAAGCTATTGTGAATTTTGTTTTTCAGATTAATCGCAGCCGTATTGTTCATATGTACAGCAGGAGTAGTTTGGAAGAAGTTTGTAGTCATGGATAAATTGCCTTTACAACTTTTGTTCTATCAAAATTGTATATATATATATATGAAAAACTCTTCCCAAGGCCTATAGGCGAAAATGAACAGTGATTTCGTTTACCTCCATCACCATCCAAACTTCATCGCACGGTCACAGTTGTCCGGTAGTGTTTCAATTTTCATGTTTTTTCTACAAATCCAAATTACTTAAAATTTGGAGCATGTGTACATCTTAGTGAGGCGCATCTAATAAAAATATGAAAAAAATAATTCGTAAAATATAAATTGACCAAAATACCCCTAAAAAATTTATAGGGGTCTTTTGGTCAAT